GGTGAAAACAGATCATTAGTCGAGCATAGCGGAAAAATATAAACCGCGAGGTGAATTGGAGAATCGGTCCCACAAGAGTTAATAACTTACACCCAGGTCATGATGTTTGGTCTGCATAGTTTCAACAAGATCATGACCGCCTGGGATATCCGCAGGACGACGTAGTGGAATGACGAAAAGACCTCTGCGAATCGCTCGAACGGGGTCAGCGGCCGAACGACGAAACCCGGAGTACTCGAGGCCAGCGAGACGGGCGAAGTCGCCGAGCTCCCAGCCGAGCCCCCAGCCGAGCCCGATGCAGCAGAGGAGGAGGACATATAGGAGGATGGGCGCTCCCCAGCAGCGCGGCGGCTCCGCGGGGCCGGCACAACTTTGCCGGCGGCGATGCGGTCGAGCAGATCCAGCGTGGCCCAGACGATGTGGTAGAGCTCCATCAGGAACCAGGGGGCGAAGACTATGGGCCACGACGAGATCAAGGAGTCGAGGCGCAGTGAGAGCAGCACGGTGACTGCGGCAAAGAGGGCCACGTAGGCCACCTTGAGGGCCCGCAGGAGGGCGGAGGAGAAGAGACGCGGGGCGGCGGCGATTCTCGGCGGGATATCGCCGGCACCTCCGCCGAACCCGCGTGGGGTGGCCGGCGAAAGAAGGTCCTGGCGATCCTCATCGTCACGCACCGAGCGTTCCTTGTCATAGTCCCGTCTCGACGGCCGGTCGGAGCCGCCGACGACGGCGACGGCGGAGGCGGAGGGGTCGGCTGCTGGGCTGGTAGCGGAGGCCCAGAGGGAGATGAGCAGCAGGAGGGCGACTGCGGCGTAAGCTGGGATAAAGACGACGACCCAGGGGGCAACGAGCCGTGCGTCAACCTTGAGGGCTACGAGGATGGGGAAGACAAGGACGGCGAGGGAGATGAAGAAGCCGAGGGCAGCCAGGCGATGGAAGGCCAGCATGACGTCCGGGTCGAGGAAGGGTACTGAGCCGAGGAGGGCTAGGCCGCGGGCGCCGTAGCGGTCGTAGACGGCCCGCTTACGCGGATCGGACAGAACCTCGTAGGCGCGAGCGATGAGCTGGAAGCGGTGCGGGGCGAGTGGGTCCAGCACGTTCTTGTCCGGGTGATGGCGAAGGGCCTCGCGGCGGTAGGCCTTGCGAACGGCATCAGGCGAGGCATCGCGGTCGAGCTGTAGGATGCGGTAGTAGTCGGAGGGGTTTGAGAACGGATCGTCGTCGCTGTCATCGCCGTCGTCGCTAGAGGCCGACCGGCCTCCATGGCCATCGGTGCCGCCGGCGGCTATGCGCCCGTCTGCCTCATTACCGACGGCGGCGACAGCAGCCGGCGTGCCTGTTGGCCTTGACAGAGGCGTCGGCACAGACGCCATGCGATGTGGGGTTTATGGCGGATGGATCGGTATCCCGGGGTAGCTATGGTAAGCGTGAGGATCTACTGAGGTGCTCGATCTGGGCGAGGAGCACAATCACACGTTGCGGCGTCGAAAAGCGCTGCAGTGGCGGGGGTTAGCGGCGCGAAGGCTGCGGCGGTAGTAGCACCTGGCAGGGTGGCGGTGGGGAGAGGCGGGGTGAAGCTGAGCCCAGTGTCTCTGCCTCTGCAAGCCCTGTGTGTTTCCCGCGGCGGCCACTGTCTGTCTGTCCACCTACCTTACTGCTGAGGCATCCTCCTGCACAGTCTCCTGCCTCTGCGGTGCAGTCGGTGAGAGCCTCTCGGATTCATGGGCGCGGCACAGAGTCTGGGTCAGTGTCTGAAATGTTGTTCTCTATTGTGGTTGTGTGTCTGGCCATGGCCCCAAAGGATCCTGACATGTCCACAAAGAATTGCTGGCTTCGCCAAAAAATCGTGAGGATCGTAAACAGTGTGCGTAAAGAAACCTTAACTATTAGGCCATACTCCAGTGTGAGTTCGGCCATACTCCAGTTAGTTCCAATCAATAAAAAATGACCTTTTATTGAGATGTTCTGTAACTCTGGTGCAAACCAAATGGAGATTAAATTACACCTACCTCCTACCCCCCTCCCAAAAGAGCCCAACATAACCATCCCCTCTGAACACCCCGAGCAAACACACATTTTCATTATTGGCTTAGTATACTAAGAACATGACGGAACACTGAAACTCAGTCAGAAACCAAACAGAAGTATTTTGAACAAATACATCACTTGGTCAGGGTCCCTGACTTCAATTCGTGATGACCAGCCTCAGTCGGACTTCGGAAAATGAGTTGGGTGCTCGCATGTAAAACAAGCAAGGCATGATATATGCTGCCTAAGGAACAAAATTGCAAGCCCGAGCTGGGGATCGAACCCAGGATTTCTTCCTTAGGAGGGAAACGCGATACCACTTCACTACACGGGCGTTTATATTGAAGATTTGCTGCAACTAAGACATTAATATGGTTTTTAAGAGACTAACAAACGAGGTCGGAGAGTGGTTGGTGGGGCGGGGGTAGGTTCTGCGGACGGTGGGCCACGCCACCAACCTGCGACCCCTCCGTTGCAGGCGGTCCTATGAAGCCAGCGACCATACAGCACCACGTTTGCAACCTTTTTTCGATTCTCAAGCAATGCTGTCTCCCCCATCCCATCATACAAAATTTCACTTGGACAACAAGAAAAGGAAGAAGAAAACTGCCCTCAATCAAGCTTCGGCCGGCGCGGCCGCGCCGGAAGCGGAGCCAACCCCGCCTGCACCCTCCTCCCGATGATCGCTCGAGTCATCGGCCCTCAGTTCCCGCTGAGGCGCGGGCTGCTCGGCGGCGGTGGCGTCGACGGTGTCGACGGCGGCAGCGGTTGTGGTCTCTGGGAGCTTCTGCTGCTGCTGCTGCTGCTGCTGCTGCTGCTGCAGAAGCTGGGAGGTGGGTGGCGGGGCTGCGACAGCCTCGGCCTCGGCCAGGATCTGCACGGTCCTTTTGTCGTTGCGGGTGGCCAGCGGCAGGTACATGTGCGACGGGAGCGGTGCCGACACGGCTAGGTCCTTCCCGGGGCCGTGCCAGTCCTGAGAAGAGGGAGACGGGTAAGCGATAGGTGCAGCAGAGGTGGAGAAACCCCATCATTGGCGTAATAAGATATAGGGAAGGGATACGAGAGTCGTAATGAGAGGGGTGACGAGTTCAGCCAAGGTCGGCAATATCGCTTCACGCCCACTCCCCACAACATACTCTAAGCTTCAGCCAGCAGATGGTTTGTAGTAATTTTTTTTGTGGAGAAAGGGAGGGCTTACCTTTATTTTGATTTCACGTAAGTGCAGGGAAAGCTTGGCGACCTTTTCCGATTTGAAAGCGTTCTAGTTGGCAGAAGGTAAATGAAGGTGGCCAGTTGCGTACAGTGAGAATGAAAATTGAGTGTCAGGAAAGGTGAAGGAATGAGGGCAGAGTAAAAAAAGAAAAGGATAAGAGTTTAACAGTCAGAGTCGGACGTCGCCCGTCGATATCAAGGGGAAAATGAGGGGCTTAGGATACGTAGAGAGGGAAGAGGAGTCCATATCAGCGCACCCGAAGCTGTGCCGTCATTCCAGGGCCGTACTTGTAGTCCCCAAGGATGGGTGCCTGCAACACCTGAGCGCAGTGCACACGAAGCTGGTGCTTGCGGCCAGTCTTCGGCTTTAGTTCCACGAGTGCCAGCTGACAATGAAAAATTAGTCGATTAAAGTAGTACAGAGGAGGAGCGGGAAGACTAGGTTTGGACAGATAGCTCACAAAAGAGTCGCTGGAGATCGTCTTGAAAAAGGTCTCAGCCAGCTTCACGGATTGGCCGTCGACAGGAACCGTGGTGCCCTTGTCCTGCTCAACTTCAAATGAGTGCCGGGGGGAGGGGGGGAGGAAAAAGAGAGTTGACACTAGAATCATCGAGACAGGGGAAACTTACGCCATTCCACGGCTTTCATCTTTTCTTTCCCCATTGCTCCAGACTCCACAATGCCCGTCCGAATAAGACCTTGCGGCTTCACAGGCGGACGGACCAGCAGCGCCAAGTACTTTATTTGACGGTTAGGAGCGCCACCGAGAGCACAGAAGGACGCAACAAGGCTAATCCTAGTGCGATCCAGATCTTACAGTTTTGGAGATCATGGCGCTACCAGGCCGCAAGTATTCGCTTAACCGAACGGCGGCCTCCTTGGTCCGAGCAATGATGAGCGTGCCAGTAGTACCCTATATAATCGGTGTATTTAGTGATAGGACGGGAGTTGTAGTGCTCGAACCTTGTCAAGGCGGTGAACAAGTCGTGGTTCCTCGTTGTTTTTTCCAAATTGCAAGCCTGCAGAGTGCGGATGCAAGGTAATAACGGTGTATGAAAAGGCGTGAGCCAACAGGAGGCAAAGTGCTCCACTCTTACCCAGCTCCGATGATAATATGTCTGCTAGGTGGTTGTTGACTTTTGTCCCTCCTAGTGAGGTGACGTCCAAGGTCAGAAGCTGACATGGCATCGAAGAGGACAGAAGTCGAAGCAGCATGGCGTAATTACCTTGAACAGCAACTCCATAAGGCTTGTTTATTATAATAATGTGCTGGTCTTTGTACAAAATCCTGAATAATACGTCAACCCGTGCCCCAGCACAAAATCGAGCAACATACCGTTGTTTTAATGCTTGCACTTTTCTCTACATGGCCAATGAAAACCGAAATTAGTTTCGAAAACAAAGATTCTCTCTACCTCGAGCAGCGAACGGTCGCTCTTGAGAGCAGCCGCCTTCTCGGCCGACTTTGGCATCAAGACTCTGACAACGTCCCCGGCTACGACCTCGGTGTCCGCCCAGATCCTGAGCTTCCTGGCGTGCTCGGAGCCAACGACGTCGACCTCGCCGTTCATGACCTTGAGGCGGGCCAGCGACATGGATAGGCCGGCCGAACGCGCCACAAATTCGGTAAGGGGGACGGAGCGGATATTTTCCGGCACAGTGAAGCGGCGTAGAGAGGCGCCGGGTGTCGCGGCTAGTGCGACATCGAGATTCGGCGGCGCGCGGGCTCCCGAGACCGGTGACGTCGACGACGGTGCCGGCGGCACTGAGGCGACGGGGGAGCGGGGGGCAGGCGAGCGCGCGGCTGGGGGGCGGAGAGCTGGGGAGCGGATCGTGGGAGAGCGGGTCGTGGGGGTCCGGGCTACGGACGATCTGGGCGAGAATGGAGGATCACGGCGAGAGGTGGAGGGTCGTGAGGGCGAGGTGGCGAACGAGGCAGCGATTGCGGAGGAGGGTGATCGGCATTGCCGTGCTGCCGAGGCGGCGGCGGCGGCGGCGGCGGTGGTGGCAGTGGCAACAGCGGGACCGCACAGCACCGGCTGCAACTGGCATGGCAGCTGGCTTTCGAGAACTGCACGTTTGTGCATCCGAGCACCGCCCGTGAAGGAGGGATTTGCGATGCCCGTGACCCTTGCTTGTCGGGCACACACACACACACACACACACACAC